GCTGGACTGTGGTTCACTATGAGCGTATATGTATTATTGCTATGACTTTACTATCAGGATATTTTTTTTTCTGCTGATAAAATTAGGTAGGTTTTACGCATTTGACTATTATACTATACATAATTTCGTCTAATAATATTAGCCTAAATATTCGATTGGAATAGTCAGATTGATAAAATACTCTATGAATATTCGCAGGATATCAAAACTATTGAGCTCATGCCTAAATTTATATTTTAAAGGGATGTGCTTCTAAAATTCAATAGTTTAGAAGATATACGGTGAGTTGCATAAATGGTTATCAAAGCAGATATAAAGATTAGAGGGTATTAACCCTATTAATGACTGCAGATACAGCGGAAACCAACGGCTTAACGTGCCTTCCGAGGCATGTAGTAGCTCGAGATAATAATTTTTTGGTCACCCATCCCGTGGCCGACCCATTGCGAAAGTTGCTTATTATCGACTACGATCGCGGGCCCCCGCGCTTATCCACTGTACTTAAATCTCATACTTAAATCTTTTTCATTACAGAGCACCAACATGTCAGATATGACCCGTTAAAAGATGAATGGATTCTCGTCTCTCCTCACCGCTGTTTGAGACCGTGGAGCGGGCAAACCGAAACACCACCGGAAGACCAAGCTCCTGATCCAAACAACCCTTTAAGACCCGGTGCCACCAGAGCCAATGGACAGGTCTGTATGATTTTTATAAACTATATAGGTAACTCATTTGTCAAATGTGAAACTATTTGTATAACTCATACGAATTAAGATACTCGAACTCACGACCGCAATCTCAGTGTCAATTATAATCCAATGTTGATCTCAATTCATTAAGTCTTACCTCGTACTCTTGCATCAAGTCTTGTAGGGACCGTATTGGTGAAGGTGCGGTGCTTCTGGCTGATGGAGACAACTGGCAAGGGCGATTTAAGGTAATGAGAAAATATTTAAAAAAAAAATCACACTGCCTACATGATGCAACTCTAGCAAAAGTTGATTTTTGCGGGAAACGAATGGACCAAAGATGGTCATTTCCATTCCTTTTAACTATCATATTAAAAATCTGAAATTTGCAAAGTTCGAAATACGAGATACCGATACAAATACGAGAAAGTACAAATAGATTACGAGTTGTTTATTGAGTTTTGAAAACTAATTTACTTTTATACATGAAAGAAAACCGAAGTGTTGTCATGGAGTAATCATGTAAGTACCGTAGCGACATCTAGTTTGATTTCGGGAACTTGTGTTTTTTTTAAATACTTCCTCAGTACCTATCTCTTACATTTGTTTGGTCCGCCATATTGGATTTAGAATGACAGCACAACATTATTTTTCTAGTTTACTCAACGAGCCTTTTCATTTGATACCCTTATTGTAGAAGTGCAATTATAAATGCACTATTCTGCCATATTATTTAGAATCACGTCCTTATCATGCATTGTCATCCAAACTACAAAATTTCAGCTCAATCGGTAGAAGATATCTATTTCAAAATTGAGTTCAAAGATTCCACCCAAACAAACATACATTGCAAGTTAAATAAAAGCTTTTAATTTAAAAAAAAACGGATGATCTGTAATCGTTCTTATAATAAAATTCAAAATAAATAAACAGCGACTGTCTCAGGCCCTACCTTCATGTATCATAAATTAATGAAAATAAGTTTCTTTAGAGTCGTATTAGCGTTTCGAAACTACCTAGCTGAAATTTTGTTTTGGAACCGTTCATTGATCACGTGATGGTTTTTTCACCGTTTTTACCCCCCTTCTCCTTGGTGATACATGGTGAAATTTAAGACTACCCCCTTCCACCCAAATCACGTCTATTTTCGGTACCTACCTACAAAAAAATCTAAATTTTTGACGCCGCTTTACCGATTATTGTATTGGGTCACCAATTTACCGAAATGTTATGTGTTTTATTTATTAGTATATAGGTTGATATATAACTTATTGATAAGTTTACTATCTGACTCTATTTATACGAAGGATCGGTAAAATAAATAAACGTGTTCACAGTTATGAGTTTACTTTCAGACTATTTGATGTTGAAGTGCCACTTACAAAATACAAAATATCATAGATTACGTTGCCACAGAGTGGTCGACAAAGATTATAAAACAGATGTGCCACAGTGCCATGTGCCACACCGCTTTCGATTTAGTAATCGCGCGTTTGAGGAAAAAATAAATATACGTGATATATAAGTACACCTCCCTCTCTCTTGTGATACTTCGTGATTTTTGACGAACCCTTTCCCCTCCCTTTTGCGCCTCACGTGATTTATAGAGAACCCCTTTCGGAGAAGGCCTTTATGTGACATGTTAATCTAAAACGAGTAGTTCAGCGTTGGTGTAAACTTTAACTGATATAACTGTTAACAAATGGATAAACAAAAACAAAAAACATTATGTTGGTCTGTATGGGCTTTTCTTAACACGTGTGCAAAATGTTATAAATGTATGTATGTATGTATGCCTATATGTTTGTCCACGGATATTTCGCAAACTAGACTTTGGATTGCAATGATTCTTTTTTTGTCAATTGCTTATCTTTCAACTTAGGGTATACTACAAGTTTCATCAAAATTGGTTCAGTAGTTTTGAAGATACAAACTATTATTTAAGCCATTTATAAACGGATTAATATTTGACAGACTTAAAAAGAGGTTGTCTATTTGATTAAAAATCAAATAAACTTAAAAAGAGGTTGTAAATTTTGTTGGAATATGGCGCAATATTCATTTAAGTTAATCTATATGTGCTTCTAAACTCGTATGCTACATTTTGCAGGTGTATATTATATATGTGTCTCTATATGTTTGACAAAGTAATGAAAAAATCATAATAAAAGCACCTCCACTAGATGGCGACTCTACCAAAAGTTGATTTTTGAAGAAAACGAATGGACCAAAGATAGTTGTTTCCGTTCCTTTGAACTAACATATTAAAAAACTAAATATTGCAAAATCGAAACTTAGATATCAATACAAAAAATAAAAAGTGCAAATAGAATATGAGTTGTTTATTGAGTTTTGAAAATTAATTTAGTTTTATACGATGATATCATAGATCGATAGATAGAATATTCGAAAATTATAGATAGACAAAATATATTTATATGACGAAAACATATCTTTTATACATGAAAGAAAACCAGGGGGTTGTCATGGAGAAATCAAGAAAGTACTGTAGCGACATCTAGTTTGATTTCGGGAACTAATTTTTTTTAAACTTCCTCATTGCATCAAGATTTTTTTTCTGATAGGTCTGTTTTACTATTTACTAATGGATACAGCTGGCACCAATCTCGAAAAGTAATGTTGGTGTTTCCACTTTTCGTGTTTCGATTTTATTGAAGACTGGCTTTTGCCCGCGACTTCGTCCGATGGTAAAGTTACTTTGAGCAGCATTTCTAACGAATATTTATTCATTATATCGTCTAAAATACTTGAAATAAAGTTTCATCCCCTATTTAATCCCCTTAGGGGTGGAATTTATTGGGGACATTCTTAGGGGATGCCTACGTCATAGTAGCTTTATGCATGCAGTCTCAGCCCGACCGGTTTAAAATTGACAGTTTCATACAAACTTTCATCCCCTATTTTATCCTCTTGGGGGTAGGATTGATCAAAATCCTTTTTTCCGAACTAAAACTGAAATTCAAAATGTGACAATAGGGATGTCAAGATAATCGGTTTGAGAAATATTGATAAAAATCGTTTCAATTATTTGATACCGATTCCGTTTTATGTTTATGTGCAGGTAGTATACAAATATCTTCCTCTATTATAAGATGACGGATTGGGCTATGAAAGTTACTAGTTTGCGATTATTATAATGACTTCCCGCCAAGAAGAACCAACTTTTAAATAGTTCCAACCAAAAAAATACAGTAGCAAAAAATATTACCCAAACCTTAATTACTATGCCGTTAAAAAGTAAACATAACAATTTTGGAAACTAAAAGACTTCGTATTTTAAATTAGAAACCCTTCCTTAAAGATTTTGTTTTTTTTTTCCAGAAAAATCCTAAATACACATCAACTTATGTCTTTCCAAATGACTTCCCGGCTCTCTTAGAGAGGGTTCCTGAGCCTCCATCATCAGATCATCCTCTGTTCCAATCCAGCCAAGCGAAAGGCACATGCAGGTAAGTTTAATTAGAATATACTGTATTGTATCTAAATGACATAACATTATAATATTAATTAAGCTTTATATATTATAGATTGAAAACTAATTCATGTGTATAATTGTATTTTTTTGATTTCATTTTACATTGTTTAATTTAATTATTAACATTTATTATGATCATCATCTATGATATAATTTGACATTTTTATGTAATATTTGTATGCCAACTAGACAGATTTATGTTGGGACTTGACTTGGCTATAACACCTTTGCATATGTTTTGTATACCCAAAAATTTGACAAATAAATGAATTTGAATTTGTAGTACAGTGACATATACAAATACATATACAGTAATAAAAAAATATGTTATTTCATCATGACAAAGACACAACTAAATATCTGAATATAATTCAATAAACGTTGTCAAAGTAATAAGCAATTCATAAATTAAAAGAGCTAAATAAACGGTGGCCAAGATTCTAAATCTGCCTCAACTCTATTGTATTACGTTCCGGAAAAGAAGTCTATAGTCTGCCTATAATTAGAAAGTTCCTTTAACCTAGCATATTCACATATCGTCATTGTTAATTTAATAATGTTCAGATGCACGTATATACCTAAAGACGCTTGCGGTCGGTATCCGCAAGCGTCTCACTGTTAAAAGGTACGCAGCCATACATGTAACGGTGAAATGGTAAAAGACCATGGGCATCTACATGATGGTACAAGTCAATAGCTTGTCGCCTGAGGCCTGGTAGGTAGTATAGTAACGCCCTATATTTAACAAGACAGCATGAAATAAGAAAAATAATTTACGATCCCTAATGAACTGGTGTTATTTCGACAGGGTAATGTGCTTCCATCCGGATTCCTCTATGACACTGCCATTAATGTCAATTTCTGAAATTCAAGCAGTCATTGAAGAGTAAGTATCTCAGGAATCAAAACAACAGTTAAATAGAATTACAATTATATATCTTCACATAAATATGACCGAGTGCCATAAGACAAGGACATTATTTACAACTTTCGCCTCCTCTGGTTTCATTACTTTTTTCATATACTTATGTTTGCCGGTTTTTATGACTCCTAATTTTCATCCACTTGCATCCGGAATTCTTTCCTTTGTGTCCGCACGATGTTTTTATTGGTCTTAAAAACACGATTCATGTAAAAAATACTCTGATAGGTAAAGGATTATTACAAAGTCATAGATTCATTGAAAAACTAAAGAGCCAGGTATTAATTACTGTAACATAACAACTATCATTCAATAATTTTACTGTTTTCTGATTTTGTATTGTATGTTTGCTCTTCGGTATAGATTTAAGTTTATATAATTGATTGGTATGATAACATAACATTCTAACAGGTGGATAAACCAATTAAAGGAGCTCGGACGGCGATACACTTGGGTTCAGATTTTTGAAAATAAAGGGGCAATAATGGGTTGTTCTAATCCTCATCCTCACTGCCAAATATGGGCATCTAGTTTTTTACCAAATGAACCTAGAATCAAAGAGAGGTGGGTTGAATTTTAACGTTATAAAATTAAATATATAGGATGGTATCAAAATCTTTAGTTGAAGTGTATGCTAACGAAACTCCGAAAAACACGGAACCTTCTTTTTAATCAATTCTTTTGCAATTTTATCGCATTAAAAAAAAAACAAAAAACTTCTGTTTACGTTACATTAGAATTTCGATCGAAAATTTTCGCAGTGCCTCGTTAAGTATACTCCAACTTAATCCTTAGACAATTATTAATAATATTAACGCTGTAATATATAATATAATGTCTTTGTTTCGTTCACAGAACTCAAAAAGAATATTTCACAAAATATGGAAAACCTCTCTTAGTGGATTATTTAAAAGAAGAGTTAGATAAGAACGTAAGTGCCAATTCGTGACTCGCCACCGGAGCAGTCACTAAATCATAGGAGTTCCTACAGCCTAGTTCTAACCAGTCTATGTATTACTGGCTTGAATAACGGGCAGAGACAAATCCAACAAGATATCTATTATAAAAATAAATCCGTTCTTGAGTTATAATATAATTGCTTTTATTCATCTTAAAACATACCTACTCAACGTCCAGTGGGCACAAAATTGTTAGACTTTAATAATTTTTGAACTTCGAAAATAATGTGATTTTGCGACATTTTACATATAATTTAAGTTTTTTTTTTTTTGTATATATATAGGAGAGAATAGTTCTGCAGAACTCTGAATGGGTTGTACTGGTGCCATATTGGGCTACGTGGCCTTATGAGACAATGGTTTTACCAAAAAGAGGATGTCCACAACGTCTGACTGATCTAAGTGAAGACCAGAAAACTATGTTAGCTGACATTATTAAGGGATTGAACACAAAATATGACAACTTGTTTAAATGCAGCTTTCCTTATTGCATGGGTTGGCATGGTAAGTAAACAATTATAGAGTTTTAACATAATAGGTATAAGACACACGTTAGGTAAGCAAGGACAAAGTCGGCATTGTAGTGGTTTATCTGCTAATGGGGTTGATTAACAACTATCTTAGGGGCTGGTTATCACATACCAATTCATTGGTCAACAAAAGTCCAAAACTGACTCACGGCTTTGGAAGTCGTTTTCGCTTGGCCCACGTGTTTCCTACATGACCTATGATTTTATACGAAAGTCTTAATTATGCCCCTAAACATAAAACTAACGCAACAAATACCCCAAATTTGCTGCCTTAAGCTGAGCCTTGGTTCCTACCTAGGTTCAGGGACACTTAAATAAAATCATTTCACACTTCAATTAAAAATATTTGAAAACCATATCTACTGAACTGGCTTTTTAATCAAGCTTCTATTAATAATTTACCATTTTTCCAGGTGCACCAACCGGCCCTACACATAAACCGGGAGATTCCCCGCATTGGCTTCTCCATGCTCTATACCTACCGCCTCTACTTCGTTCAGCAACAGTCAAAAAATTCATGGTTGGCTACGAAATGCTAGCACAACAACAAAGAGATTTAACACCTGAGCAAGCAGCACATAAACTCAGAGAGCTGGACCATTTGGCTCACTACAAAAATCAAATTAAATAAGAAGTCTTAGTTTACGGAAATTGAGGTCTTGACACTTGAAATGTATTTTTCTAATATGTAATTACCGATTGCATTATGGTCTATATCTTATTGTTGGTTTTTTTTTTAATAATATACGAGTTTTGTTAGAATTTTAAATAATATGTATTTTTAGCACCTCGTTTTACACACATTTATACCAGAAATACTAAGTAGGTACTTAACTAACAGTCATACGGAAAAAGTATCTAGAATATATTACCAAATTCACTCCAGTACTGTGTACTTTGTTTGTGATCACTTGTGTTTTGAAAAACAAAAAATATATTCTACAAATATACACGAAGGTCAGTCATACGATTCGTGTACTGTCTGTTAATATCGTGCATTACAGAAGTCATAAAAACAAATGCAGATTAATATATATTTGGGCCTTGGAATCCGAATCTCAGCTGTGATTATTAATATGCTTATTTATCATTTATTGTTATAGCATTCCAAGATGTAGTAATAAAGTGTTAAAATATATATATATATATATATAATTATGGACCCCATCAGGAACAGCCAATTAGAAAAGGGGAAGATACAAAGAATACTTGAATATTAAAACTTATTTTGAGTAATAACTATCCTTCCGCCAGCCGCTTCGCCCACGTGGTCTTGCATTATACATAAAAACCTTCCTTTTGAATCACCCCATCTATGAAAAAAAAGCCGCGTCAAAAGCCGTTGCGTAGTTTTAAAGATTTAAGCGTACACAGGGATATAGGGACATAGAAAGCGACTTTGTTTTATACTATGTAGTGATGAAATAAGTATATATGCATTGTAGAAACCTTTATGGTCAAAAGAATTAAAATAATTTAATTACAGGAAAAATAACAAGTAAATAATTATTAAACTGAAACATAATTAACTGTTTCATTTTTATCTTTAAACCTGATGTATCGATTATATCACTAGATAGTAAATTAAAAGTAAGTCATAAATCGATTTTCCCATAATTGTATACGTACTTCCCTAGAGCTGTTATGTTTGTTGTGATCTGTCATACATAGAATAGAAAGAAAATGGCCGAAGAAAATCTATGAAGCTTCCACTAGAGCTTCTAAACTAAAAATATTTTATTCACTAATTAACTAAATTAAAATAAAAAATATGAAGGAAATCGATATAAATATTGAAGGCTACAATGTGAACGGGATATGTGTTGGTTGTTTAAATTACAATCGAAAGATGTTCTATCAGGAAGACATAAAGAAATGTTTCAACAAATTGGCCGATATTGATGTAAATACTGTTTTATAATTTATATTTATTACACGAAATTACATAACATTTTTTGCTGATTCTTCTTTCATCGACAGTGATAATGTTTTGTCTGTAATATTAATACAAATGGGAATGTCAATAAGAACAAGAACGCCTGGATACGCCATTGTTTTCTGTTAATAGTTTTTTTTATCTCCAAGTGGATCTCATGTCGTAAGACAATTGAAGGACATCATTAATTTCCAAGTTTAAAATAATATTTTTTTAACATGCTAATAAAGTACAAAATGTATAAAAATGAATAATTTGAAGGCTTTTGGTATTTTTTGTGCAAATGAATTGATTATGCAGCCTGTTGCTTGCCTGTTAATAGTTTTTTTTTTTTTATCTCCAAGTAGATGTCGCAAGACATTTGAAGGACAATATTAATTTCCAAGATCAAAATAATATTTTTTAACATGCTAATAAAGTACAAAATGTATAAAAATGAATAATTTGAAGGCTTTTAGTATTTTTTGCTCAAAAAATTTGATTATGCAGCCTGTTGTTTACAAAGTTTTTTATTTATAATAAATACCGTGTAATAAATGATGTAACTATTTACCGACCAGTTGCACAAACATCCATTAATTGTATATTAGTGCTTAAAGGCATCATTAAACCTTAATAGATGTTTGTGCATATGACCATAACATTGTCAGTTACAGCTAATGACAATTTTAATAGACATTTGTGCAATGATTGTTCAGTTGCACAAAATATCATTAAGGTTTAATGACACCTTATGTCAGATTTGTATCGGGAATGTCACTTTAGAGTAATGACAATTTAAATGAATGTTTGTGCAACTGGTTGTAACTGCTGTAACGTCAGATTAGAAAAAAAAGGAAACAAAATTCATATTTCAAAGACCCTTTTTAATGCATTTGAATAGACTTCTAAATATCATGATAATTTATTTATTTATTTAAGTAACCCAAAGTAGGTTATGGGAATCAAATTGAGCAAGAAGATGTATAACAATAACAGTTTGCCCTAAACACAATTAATTCTTACAGATCCCAGATGGTCTTTCGGTGCAGGTGTGCTGGGAATGTCTTGCGAATGTCCAGAGAGTGTGCCAGTTCTCGAAGCAGATTCTGAAATCTTACGATATACTAATAAATTATTCCAGACAGGTATGCTGTTTTCTTAAATTTTTTATACGTATATACCACTGTAAAATTGACACTGTTGCAATTTATGATTAGTTAATTATTATAACACTGACCTAACTTTTATGGATGTATAATCAATTCTTGATCGGCAGCACACATTTCTCAACTCACCATCAGACTTCACAAATCATTCGACAAGTCGACTCAACATATCCGAGACTGTTACATATGAAATGCTCAATTCATCATCCAAATTATCAGATGAGAATGAACAAAATGATGACAAGCTGGAATTAAAAACAGAGTTGATCAGTGATCAGTATGATGCAGATTTAGGTATGTCATCTATAAATTTTTTATTTATTCATTATTTTGTGTACAAAAGTCATGTAAATAGAAGATAATGTCTACTTGAAAGTAAATCTACTTCACATCACTGTCCCAGTGCTGATCGGAGAGTATTAACAAATGCCAATGCATGAGTGAAGTTTTTCACATGCTCTCTGAAGCGTGGTGGAACTAAAGATTATAAATAATCAGTCTCCCATCCAACCAATAATCTCTGAATGAGTCTTGACAAATGTTTAATCTACCATGTCACACATTTTGCTAGCAGGATGTAGCGACCACCTTCCATTTTGCACGATCTCGACATACCTCTCTCCCTTCTTCCACACGCATTAACCTTTACATACAAGAACATTAGGGTACTCTTGACCAGGCATATCTTTAATACATATGTTAGTCTAGGTCATCTCTTTCCAGTATTTCCTGTCCAATGTATATACCGTATAAATATAGATTTAAGTTTCTGCTTTCAGAGTCTCTTAAAATTGAAGATGATAATTACCAGCATATTGATAATGATGTCCAGTTTGATGACCATGTACATGATCAGTCTTCAGAAGACGACATGCAACTGTCAAAGCTTAAACAAAAGAAGGAGAAGAGTAAAAAGGTCAAAAAACACAAGAAGGATACTGAGGAGAAGGTTTGACATGATTTTTATATAGCACCTAAAACCGTTTAATGGGGTATTTTCGTCACAAAGGACATCGCCGAAAATGGCCCCAATACCAGTAAATATTAATACTTCAATAATAATTATTAATTAATTTATTAAATAGGTATCAAATTTTATTTGATACGGACAAGCTGCATTCCATAATTAATATTTAAAAGTACTTTAACAGTAACATATTTATTCGCAAATATTCACATTCAATACACTTAAATTCTATTGAGACAGATGAATGTAATTTACACATCAGATCAAGAAGAACATTTATTTTTATTAGATAACTTTTAAATCATCGAACACAAAAACATTAAATTAAATTGAAAGAAAATAAACTTCAGTATAAACGTCAAATCATTAACTTAAAGCGCCATCTCTTGGTGGTTTTCCAAATAAAACATAAGGACATAAAACTGAATATTATACAAACTAAATTCATTTTTACAAACATAATTCACTCTTGTTTATTCAGAAAGATTGATATTCATACGACATATCCTAAATACTACTTTATTTCTATTAAATTACCTTTATATTCCTCGTAAACATATTAGCATCATGTCATTTACGTATTTAAGGCGCCATCTTTTGATGTAAACCATCAAAAAACTATAGGTTTTTTGATTTTAAGCTTTCAATAGGTTTATTATTTAACTATTAGAATGATTTATTTGTGTATTGACCTAGAAACTTTTACAAGTCACAACGAAAAACCGACTTTCTTAAAGTTGAGTTTTTTGCTTCGACAATATAGACATCAATATCATGTCATGTACTTAAGAGTGCCATCTCTTGGTGGTTTTCCAAACAAATTATAACCTCAAAATAAATTATATTTTGCGTGATAATAAGTTCTACAACTTGGTCGCGGTATAATAAATACATAATGAGAATTAGTTGTGACACACAATAAAATCAGTATTTTCCTATAATTTTTTGGCTCTGGGGCCACCAATGTATGGACGTTGAGCAATGTCCTTTTATCACAATTAGTTCAGTATATTATGTGTGAAAGACAAATAAACTTACATATAACCATCCACAAAACATATTTTGTATGATCCGATACTTAAAAGGAATTAGTTTATTCCTTATCAGAAAAATAATAGGGTCAAGGTTATATATAAAATTGTGCTCTTCTTGCTGGATCTTTATTTTCATTTCAATTTCATTTTAAACCCATACTATGAGTGCTTAAAGATAATAAGTCCACCATCTTGAGTGTTCCATCCACCATCTTGAATATTCTGTCCGCCATATTGGACTTATAATAAATATCCTTGTGTTATTTTCGAATTTTTTAGAGATCATTTGATTTTCTTATTATTATAGTACAAAGATGCAAATAATAGGAACTCTAGAGATTATTGATAATATGTAAAATGAAATGTTGTGATAATCTGCAACATATTCCATTAAATCATATTTTCTATCTCTTTTCACAGTTAAAAACGGCGGATAAAACTGTCAAAGACCCTCAGAAGAAATTGAAGAATCTACCGCCTGATCTAGTCCAGGTATATATGATGAATGACGAGGAAATGTGGACCGTAAGATCAGAGGACCAAGACAATAAATACTTCGGCAAGCTCCGTATGAAATGTTTGATGTGCCTGATAACTTTTAATTCGGAGAAGCATGAAGCGGAGCATATGGCTGGGAAACATAGACCGGTAAGTGGTAAGAAATATGAGGGTGGTTTGAAAAATTCTCGGCCTGATCGAGATTTGAGGGTAGTATGTAAACTAATTTATTGTCATTTGACAGCTCGATTCTTTATTTAATCGTATGTCAAGTGCCATTGTATTGATGTAGAAAAATGAAACATGTTTTTATTTTCTTTTTTTTCTTGGTCGGGCCGAGAACTTTTCAAACCACCAATAGTTTCAGAGCCTATTTGTTGCAAAAAACAAATTATCAAACAAGATAAGTTGCTGTGGTAAAAAATTTGCTTTACCATTTAAAAAAAAAAATACTTCCATTTTTATCCCTTTTACATAAAGAAATTAGCTCCAGATTGTTAAATAAGGTTGACTTTCAAACACTTCCTAAAGTAACCTTTGATGGAATCGTTATACCATTTAGTGCAACAGTAAGGAATTTGGGAGTAATAATGGATGACACACTCAGTTGGGCACCACAGCTTCAATCGATTAGTCGGAAGTTGTATGCTTCTGCGGCTTCTTTGAGGAGATTGCGTAATTTCATGCCCACTGCCACTAAAGTTGTGCTTGCACAGTCTCTTTTACTTCCTGTTCTTGACTATGCTGACGCCTGCTTTCTAAATATTACGGAGGACCAGCTAAATAAACTTGAGCGCCTTCAAAACTTCTGCATAAGGTTCATATTTGGCCTTCGCAAGTATGACCATGTCTCTCATTATCGCACTGAACTCAAGTGGTTTCCTATTCGTCTTCGCCGGAATGCTCGTATCCTATATCTTCTATACAATATATTGTTCAATCCTTCCTACCCTCGTTATCTCAAAGAACGCTTCAGTTTTCTTCAGAACTCCAATTCATACTCGTAACGGTCATCAGAAAATCTGATACTTGAAATGTCACCACACAGCACTAACTTTTACGATGCTTCTTTTACTGTTCGGGCTGTGCGTCTCTGGAACTCTCTACCAGTAAAGATAAGACTCTCGCAATCATTTAACTCTTTTAAAATGCGCGTAAGGGAATTTTACCTATCACACTAGTTATCTTATTGAATTAACTGCTTTATTTTATTTTATTTTTTTTTCTTTTTATTGACAGACTATAGTTTTGTTTGCTATATTTATTTGGATAGTATCTATATATATTTTATTATTTGTGTAGTATGTATACGCTTATATGAAGTTATGTTTGTTTATTGTATATTTATTTAATATATATTGTAATCATAAGATTATCATACACCCCCGTACTTTTAAGATAGTTCATCTCTCCATCCAAAGGTTGTCTGGAAGAGATCGCTGTTTAGTGATAAGACCGCCAATTGTGACACATAGCTTAATATTGTTCTTTTTTTTTTCTTTGTATGTTTTGTATTTGGTGTTTGCAATAAAGTGTTATCTATCTATCTATCTATCATAACCGCCATTTTGGCCGCCATCATCGAGACAGTATTACCAGATGTAACAATTAGAGCTACCAAATTTTACCATTCTAGCAATGTATATATTGTAATGAAGTATTAAAAAAAATTAGTTCCCGAAATCAAACTAGATGTCGCTATGGTACTTTCTCCATGACAACACAGACGGTTTTCTTTCATGAATAAAAGTAAATTAATATTCAAATATATATATTATTAGTACTTAAACTTGAGTATTAAATTTACTTATTGACAGATAGAGAATGCCTCTTTGGCATTAAGTCCGCCATTTGTCTATTTTACTAAGCAGTTGAGAAAAATAAATAAATTATTGCAGAAAGGCGACGATTGTCTACAATGTGATGTATGCAAAGCATATTTTTTGACTAAGGATCATCTGTCAGCTCATAGGAGTCTGCATTTGGTAGCTTATAGGTGTAAAGAATGTGGTCTGAGAACTTCAGTGAAGGCTATTATAAGGAAACATATAAAGACACATCAAGGTGATATCAATGAGTTCCACTGTAAGACCTGTGACAAGATTTTCAGGTGAGTTTATTGAAATAGTAACAGTTTTCCCGCGAATTTGCCCGTAAATTATAGCCTATGAATGTAGCTTTTTTTAGGTGAAACAATTTCCATTCAACTGTGAATTTCACTGTTATTTCATGGTAGGGCTTCCAATCCCGCAGCCTTAATTCAATCTCGGTATTTGCGGGATCCCGCATATTGAAAATATTCATATTTATATAAGGCAAATAAAACAATAAATTAATCAACTAACTCTACATTTATTTAAGTATTAATTACAATTAGTATGAGATCAATCAAATTACACTTTCGTTTATTCTGTACAAAAAACAGTAACAATTACCGAAGAAATCTATCTTCTTCAAAAATACACCAACAAAATTAAAAATAATCAACTAAAAAAAAACATTTTCAACTGAAATTGATATACGTTACTTTAATTATTTAATTTGTCAGCTAAAGCTTTCAATTGAAAGTGTTTGCGAAGGAAATACAACATATCTATAGTAGGGGAGCCCACGATGCTAAATCGGGATTTACTCGAGCGTCTTAGAGACCTATTGGGTTGCGAAGCTTAGATGATAACAAAAAAATAATGTCATCCTATTAATATTATAAAGGCGAAAGTTTGTAAGTATGGATGTATGGATGTTTGTTACTCTTTCACGAAAAAACTACTGGACGGATTTGGATAAAACTTTACAGCAATATAGGTTATACATCAGAATAACACATAGGGTACTTTTTACTGGGAAAACTTCTCACTCCCACGGGATACCGACTTCCACGCGGACGAAGTCGCGGGCGTCCACTAGTATAATATATACCTTTTCATCGGTGGGGGAAGCGGCTATAGATTTTTAAAAATGTAAAAAAAACTGTTGTATGGACATACTCGAGCGCGTCAGATATTAATATCATCCATGTCCTACGCATTTTTAAAAACTGTCGTATGTTAATCTGATCGTTTCCATGATGGGGGTAGTTATACGTAAGGGTTGAAAATGAAAAAAAAAATTATTTAATCGAGCGCGTCAGATTTTTTGAGGGGTTGTCAAGTGAACCTAAAAAAAAGCTCTCATATAATTAATCTGACGATTTGGATGTGACGCAAAAGCGTAACCATTATTAGAATGTGCAAAAAAAAATCGCCATTTTGAAATACTCAAGCGCGTCAGATTAAGATATATATGGTTCATCTTTATGCCCCAGACGTGATATCTCATAATCTGACGATTATCAGAAGGGATTTACTTAAACTGACACTAAAATTTTTTTTTTAATTTTTTCGAATCTTTGAGCTTAATTAAATAGAAAAGCACCGGAGTTAGCATGCAAATAAAAAAGTGTATGTTTTTTTATGTAAAATACTTATATTTATAAGAAAATGATTATATGAAAATTTAATTTTTACAGTATTTTTTATTAATTATCATCTTCATCGCTTGAATCATCTTCCTCTTCTTCTCTTAAAATAACAAAACAAGCAAAAACGTTGGAAATACGATGTAAACAATATCACGCCACGAACGAGTCTGTGTCATCAGCTGTCATGGCGTCATGGCAACCGAAACCAGAGTGGGGATGGAATGAGAGAGTAATAGACAGAAAAAGAGAGAGAAATAGTGATGCGGAGAAGGAAATATAGGTATCACGTAGCTTAAACGCATTAAATCTTATCGATGAATTTTTATTACTTCGGCTTGTGACAATCGTCAGATTATAAATTTTTCGTAATCCTTGAATGATTCCCTTCAAAATAAAATAAAAATTAGCCACGCTCGAGAATGTCAAAGTGACGTTTTTTTTTACAACTTTGTAGCCTTCCCCCTTCTTTACGTCACTCTCAAATTGTCAGATTAGAGGTATGTACACCTTTTAGCATGTAACTAGCTCACCTTACCTTAATCTGACGCGCTCGAGATTTTCAGATGATCAATTTTTTTTTACTAATCTGATCCTTCGTCCTTGCCGGGCGGCCATTTTTATAGGGCTCATACTTGGTCCAGGTACTTAACTGGGTACAAGGTATCCCCCTGTATATTAATCTGCCGCGCTTTAGTAAATCCCGAAATCCCCGCTTCGGCTCCCCTACTACTATGTCTGTTACATTTGTTTATATGAAATTGTATGTGTCTACAAAATAAATAGGTAAATAAATAAAATATCTAAACTGTCATTTGCCAAACTACTGCGTATTTTAGTGCGGATCATCGTCACTTTGATCTTTTTTTTTTTTATAGAGAACGTTTAATATTCCAAGTTGCAACCCATGGGCATAGCACAGTTGTTGAAATTATGGAATCAAACTACCGGTTTTAACCATGACCGAGGCTCCGTCAGTTGTAATTGCAACACATTTGTCTAAATCAAGGTCAAATTCCTTCATTTCCTTTTTAAAGGTTTCTACTTAAACTGCACGCTTTTTTTCAGTCCCGCAAATACCGCGGATCCCGCGCCCGTAATCCCGCATCACGCGGGATTGTTAAAAGACGCGGGATCCCGCAATACCGCGATCTCGGTATTCCGAGATTGGAAGCCCTAATTCAGACGAAATTAAGATAATATTTGCTAATAAGTCAATTAATATCCAGCAATTAGTTGCTCTGATAATGGCGTTAGAAATATTTATATATTTAAAAAAATCTATTTTGTCTCTTGTATTCTGAGATCGGATAGGGTTATTTTTATATTTCTATAGAATACAGTTGACTTGGAATAAATTTAATTTATAAAACGGTCAGTTGCACAAACGTCCATTACAGTTTAATGACGCCTTTAAACTCTAATGAATGTCAAAATTATATAGGTAATGTCACTTTAAACTAATGAAAATTTTAATGGTCGTTAGTGCAACTGGCTGTTAGAGTCTGGCAAGCGAAACGTGTCACAAGAAAAGGGCGGCAATTTCAAAAATTCTTAAGCAGTAAACACTGAATGTAGTACTGCAAAATAATTTTGATACTTTTATTAATTATATTTAATCTTAACATTTAGATATCAATTAAAATTATTTGTTTTGGAACATTTGACTAAAGCGTGACTGTTCTTAATTGTACAGTTAACAGCATATCAGTAGGCCTATTCACTAACTCAACTGACAACCAAGAATCGTCATCACCGTAAAAAATAGACACTTTGATTGTGTCAAAATCACTATTTCGTATTCTCTATCAATGATGAGCAATTTCGAAATGTCAATATCGGCATTCTCCACTGGACTCCATTTTGACACTTGATTTCGTATCGATAAACTGTATTAAAGTAACATTGTTGCAAAGCATATTTGAAGTCGTCGCATAGTACCTCTTAAGCCATTTGTTGTTAAATTAAAGCGAAAAAAAATACGTATCCAATATTTTTCTATTATCTGACTGACGGACTAAATCGAATCTTTTTTTTAACCCATTCGTTATACCTATTGGCTAACAGCACTTATAATATTAAAAATTCATATTTGTCATTAATTAAAAGGGTGTTTTTTGCAACGACTTCTTTGTTTTTTTGTAATGAATATGGGCGACTCTGGCCACATTTTTTTAATAAATGTGATGTTAGCCAATTTTGATTTCTGGCCCTTATATTTATAATGTGTTCATAACACATACATGTCTCCTAAGGGATTTTCATCACAACCTTTTGCTCTGATCCAGAACCACTATCTATCAAATTAAATTAGTCAATATAAACACCAGATTACAATAAAAAAAACATTTATTTTTGTTACAATTAAGTGCCATGGATAAATTACATAATACAGGTGTCACAAAATCATCATGTTAATCACAATAGAAAATTTAAGATAAGATTTTGACTATGAATCAGACTAAAAATACTTTAGTCTGATTCATAGTCAAAATCTGTTTCTAAATATTCTACACCTGATAACAATGACAAGGAATCATCAGAGTCACTCTCTTCACTACTGTCTGCACCAACAGATATAATAAATTTTTCAAGTTCGTTTTCAACAATGCCATCTTTTAATTTGTAATCATTTTCGACATTTAAAACATGATCAGTGTATTTCTTCCAGTCACTAGGGGTAATTAAGTTAAAACACTCTATTATTAAGTTTTCCATTTCCTTTCCTGGTATTCCAATGTTTCTGCTTGCAATTTTTCTTTTTGCTTGACTCCAAACCATCTCTATTGGGTTTAAGTCACAATGATACGGTGGCAGCAATAAAAGTTCATGATTATGTTCTTTTAAAATCTCTTCAGCTTCATATACAGGCAATGTTTTCTTATCATTAACCAAACACATTAACTCTGCCTTTGTCTGATATTCCTCAAAATGTATTCCATTATTTACAAGCCATTTACGGATATCTGCTTTGGTATTAGACATTATAGGCGGTTTATTGATTTGTTTTATATGGTAGCTGGCATTATCCATAACAATTACACTGGGCTTACTTAAATTTGGTATTAATTTTTCTCTGACCCATTTCATAAAGTTCGATGAGTTCATATCATCATGATAATCAGCAGATTTGGATTTACTACTGAACACTAATAATGCACCAGGCACAAAACCTTCCTCAGATCCAGCATGCACAACAATATGCCGTTTTCCAGAGGATATCTTTGTAGTGACACCAGTTGTTGAAGGTCCTTGCCAAGACTTTTTAACTTTATAATTCTGATGTACATAAGTTTCATCAAGGTACACAATTTGCTTTCCTTCGTTTCGTTTTATATTTATTTCTCTCAAATACTTGTGCCTCCATGCAGAAATCTGGTATTTTTCTATAAGCATAGAACGTTCATTTTCATTGCTTTTAAAAGAAAATCCATTCTTAAGCATAATTTTTCGTAAAGTCTCACGGCTACCACTGAATCCTATTGCATCTTTTAATTCATTGTGAAGGCTTCTTAATGTTGGAACAATTTTTTTCACACAGTAAAATTCATTTACTTTATTCCGAATTGCACTTAAATCAAAATTATCTAAAGCAGACACTGTTGGTTGATGAGGTCGTTTTTTCCCAGGAGTGTCCCATTTTCCTTTATTAATTAATGCTTCATTTTTTATCCTTCTTAGTGTCCTTATACTTACATCTATAAAAGATTAAACACTTTGAAACAAAGATATGTTAAATGTATTTAAAAGCAAATAATGATAGACACATACATCAAAATAATTTAAATACCTATTCAACTATGAATGCAATTTATGTTTAATTTAGTTAAGTTTATGTGCATATTTAGCATGTATAACAATTACATGGTTTGATTAGTTTCATGAATTCTGTGAATTTCCTTGTTAAACAAAACATTCTTATGACATCATTGGATGTCAACAATAAAAACCAATACATCATAAAAAACCTATGTAAATATTATAGGAATACTATCAATCTATCTTAAATCAAAACAAGAAAAGAGACCTGTCATTGAAGAAATTTTTTGTAAGTACTGCGTTTCCGAATTCAGCATTTCTTGTTTTTCTAAAGTTTTTATTGCATTTATCTCCTCCATTATTGGTTGAATATCACCATCACAGTTATCTGAAATAGAGCAATATTTTATAAAAAATATCTGTTTAGTTAATTACAGAAAATTAAAACGAAAGTATCAAAATTATAATACAAAACTAACCTAAAAAAGATACAACTTTATCTAATCGTTGTAATTTCTCCATGAAATTTTTATTTAATTCAGTTTTCACTTCAGTAAACTTGTCAATCATGATGGAAAGAAGTTTCCTCGATGAACTTTTTATCGGCTTCGACATAATTTTTAACCAAAAACACAAGTTCAAATTCGCAAAAACAACAAAATTCAATATTCTTGAATTGTCTAACGTAGTGTCAAACTGACAGTTCTATGTTGTTGCCATATGAAAACGGAAAAATAGGTGGTGTCACGTTTCGCTTGCCAAACTCTAATGTGATTAATTACTCGTCTTCTTCTTCTTCGTCGTCTTCTGTTTTGTACATCGTTATTCTTGAATATATTGTGTTTCCACTTTTGTTTTAGTTCTAGATCTAAACTATCATATCACCGCAGTAAACATCATAAAGAAAAATTGCAGTGCGATTGCTGCGGCAAAGTTTTTGCAAGCAAAATGACACTCAAATATCATATAAAGTGAGTTGTTTATCGCTTATAAAATGTAGTGAATTAAACTTTTACTCTACACATAGGAAATGTTTTATATTCTTAGGTAAAAAAATATTTTGTGTTCTGTACTGATAAGCAGAGATCGGAATTAGGTAGAGTTATTTATGTACTTGCATCGAAATGTTGACATTAATGTGGACCTTCCCGGGATTTCTTTATTTCTTTCTTTCATTGATGTAAGTTTGGCAACGTTGTGCGTGCAGTAGTTTAAATTGTGTAAAAGTAAATAACTCTTATTTTAAAAAATCACGGGATTTTTTCTGCTCTTTAAAATTAATTTCGGGATTTGAGGCATATCCACTTTATTCTTTCGCTGTATGAAATCAGTGTAAGTACATGAATCACTCTATCTAATTCCGACCACTGCTGATAAGGTAACAAGGCAAGTTAAACATAAGCTTGTAAAAACGGGCCCCTATTACCAACACTCAAGTAGTAATTGCTTGAGAATATGTCTTAACTTAAGCAGATATTTTTACCGAATAATCAAGAATTTGAATAATAGAATACTATTTATTATTCTTATTTCATTATATTCTCGTCCATTGGTTGAAAATACTTGCTTAAGTAATGATATTTTTTAAGTAATAACTTTACTCTACGAATGTTAGACTCCGTTGTCTGTCTGTCTGTCACCAGTAGTGTTGCCAGGTGTCCCGATTTACGCGGGACGTCCCGATTTTCAGGGGTCCTGGGACGCGTCCCGATTTGGGACGCTAAATGTCCCGAAAAATCAAGTATTTTTATAAAAAAAAATTTTTTTTTCTTACTTTAAAGCCCCTTACTACATTTATCTATGTCTGAAAGCAAAAAAGCTACCAAACTAGTACTAATTAATTAATTACACGCGCTGTCCCGATTAATAATAAATTGGACCTGGCAACACTAGTCACCAGGCTGTATCTAATGAATAGTTAAAGTTAGCCACTTGAAATTTTCACAGATGATGTGTTTTTATTGCCGCAATAATAACAAATAAATAAAAAAAAAAACAATAAAATAAATATTTAAGGGGCAGCACACAGGAAATAAGTTTTTGCTCCGCATGTGTATTCGTCAACTAAAGTGAGCAATTTAAATGTGGAAAAATCACTAATACGCATTTTCTATCAATGGTTCGCAATTTTGATATGTCAATATCGGCGATCTCCACTTAACTCAATTTTGACACTCGTTTTTCAATCGATAAACTGTTATTTCGTATTCTTTAAGCATTATTGACCTTAAAAGTAAACTTCGATTTCATGACAATTAAAAAAATATAAAGCAACTGGATAGGAATTGGTAATGACCGGTTGCCCACCGAGCTCAGTGAACAATTTAGTTCGGTTGTCTTCGGACGTCGTCAGAGTTACAGAATAAGGGCGTTGGTGGCTAATGTGATATTGTTTTCACAGAGTTCTAGGATCAAATAAAGATGAAAAACCTAAGGAGAAATTAAATATACCTTGCAAGGGATGCAACAAAGTATTTCCTTCCAAGAAAAGTTACAGGGCGCACGTGTGAGTATATAATATAATTATTTCATAATATTACATATAATTTGTCTGTCCGTCGGGTAGAATGTTGAATGCTTATTATTTGGGGCGTGAAGAAGCACCTTGCAGGTCGGCAAGGTAAGGTTGGCTAGTGCAGTACCTACGTACTGTTTTCACTAGCTGGCGTTTGGACTGCGCCTCCGCTTACCATCAGGTGGAGCGCAGTCATTTGCCCTCCATTTTATATAAGAAAAAAAATCAATAAATTACGGCGATTTGAAATGTCGTATGACGTCACAACTTAATACAATTTCTATATAGTTGAATTTCTTGTATAAATTGCAAGCAAAAAAAAAAAAAATACGTATCTAATATTTTTCTATTATCTAACTAAATGGATTTTTTTCTACCGAGACATCATTCCTAATCATTCCTAGTAGCTCGGTGGCGTAGTATATAAGCGCCGCGGCCCGCGATTGTTGTCGTTAAGCAACTTTCGCAAGGGTCGGTCACGGGATGGGTGACCAAAAATTATTACCTCGAGCTACTCCGTGCTTCGGAAGGCACGTTAACCCGTTGGTCCCGGCTGCATTTGCAGCCGTTATTACCCTCCAATCCGCATTGGGCCAGCGTGGAGGGTCATGGCCCATCCTCCTTAACCATCCATAAGGAAGGCCTGAGCCCCTGCAGTGGGGACGTAAAAGGGCTGATGATGATGATCATTCCTAATGGCTACTTAATAGTTTTATGTTTTTTTTTATTATTTAAGGGATTTTTATTCTTTAGTACATGTCAACCCCATACTTAAATTTACTACTAATTTACTATTTTACATAATTTTTGTGCAATGATAGACTTAGGCTCTGCCATATAACTTGATAGTTAAAACAATACATTATGAAATATGTCGGAAATGGTAACTTGTATTCTTATGTAAAGTAGTCTTTTTTGTTTTTAAATTAATTGTAAGTATATTTTATTTTAGCAAAATAACCCGGGATTTATATCTGCGAATTACAAGAACGCGAGTGCAACCCAGTAGGTACACGTGTTTATTGAAATGTGACGTCACTTCTCGAAATGTCACGTGACTGTTTTCGCGGTACAATTGAAATTTTCTTAAGCCTTTACTATTTCACGCAAAAACTACTGAACTGGATTTGTATGAAATTTGGTGTATGGATAATTGTAAACCTGAATTAACATATAGGCTCCGCTTTATTATTTATTACACTTAGTGGTTCCATAAAGGCCACGCGGGCAAAGCCACTGGCGGAAAGATAGTTGTTAATAACATTATAAATAAATGAATATTCGCAGTGTGATTCACAATGGTATAACGTATCCGTGCCCTATATGCGGAAAAGCGTTCCAGTGGAAGAGGAATCTGGCTCGCCACACTAGGAACCATAGAGAAAGGGATGCTGGGGCATTACACGAGTGTAGAGAATGCGGGAAAACGTTCTCCAGCAGGGACTGTTATAATAATCACATGAAGCTGAGTAAGCGGCACGTGCCCGAGGATGCGTACGTGTGAGTATCCGAAAATATCCGTAGGTATCCGATGGTGTATGTTGATGTCCGGCCGTGTGTTTAATTGAAATCTGGTATCACATGTGCTATAGAAGCCATACGCATAAGTATTCAAGAGTATCCGTTGCTATCCGATCGTTGTTTTTGATATCCGATTGTATGTAAAATAAATTGATATTTTGTAATCAGACTTATCAAAGAAGCAATGTATAATAATATCCGAAAATATCCGTTGGTATCCGAAACCTTAAAAGTAAGCAAGAGCCATAACGGAGAGTCGTTTATGTAATTTATGTCGCAATAATAGAAAATAAACTTATTTCAGCCACGAATGTAATTATTGTGGCAAGAAATTCGCCACAAAATGGTGCATGGTAGATCACATAGACTGGGACCATTTGAAAGTCATCAAATACCAATGCAGCGTTTGTTTCAAGGTAATTCGTTCTTTGTTTGTATTATACTAAAGGCAATTTTCAGAAAACATCCATTAGGGTTTAATGACGCTTTTAAGATCTAATAAATGTCAAATTTGTATTGGTAATGGCACTTTACTAAAGTTTGTGCAACTGGCAGTAAGATCATTATATATATTTTTTTATTTATTCTTACCCCGTAATCAAATTCTTTAACCGCAAAATTGAATTCCATTTAAGTATTATTAAGGCCCACTTGCAGTATAGTTGACAAAATCTCGATTTAATTAAATCCAGATTGAGCCTTAAACTCGACTTAACTTAAATCTAACTAAAGTTATCTTGCAGATCCCAAAAACATGACCGGTTTAACTAAATTATGTTCCGTTTTTGATAAAAAGACTAGAGTCCGGCGCCATAAAATCAGTTTAGAAAAACAAACGTCATCATCGTTGTTGTCAAAACTCAATATCAACATATGTTTTTTTTTGAAGACGCCGCGCCATTTCAACATTCGTAGTTTACTGTTTATTGATAACTAACAAATACCAATAAACCGTTTGTACTACCGAACTAAAATAATGAAGAGATCCAGGGCACCTAATTTCACAAATGCTGAAATAATGCACCTTTTAAAATTAGTGGAGAAATATCCTATTATAGAAAATAAGAGAACAGATGGGGCTACAACAAAAGATAAGCAAATGGCTTGGCAAAACTTAGCTGCCGAGTACCAACTCGCAACAAGTCATTGCCCTAGGACGTCTGACAATTTGAAGTCATGTTATAAAAATCAAAAAATCAAAGTGAAAAAAATGCACTCCAATGAAAAAATGGCCATCGTAATGTGCCGAATAAATCATTTTCAACAAAGAGTCTTCGAGAGAAAAGGGTGTATCTAAATATTGCACAATTTCTTCATCATCATCGGACAATAAATCATGATCAATGTTCGAAAATAAATCCATTATTATTCAAAAATAAACAAAATTAACAAACAAACTGAACACAACAAATCTTTAGCAATAGCACAAAAATGGCGGCAAAATCGAGATTTAGCAAGTTAAACCGACCCAAATGCCGATTTAAGTTTGACGTCTACGTAAATCGAGATTTACAACTAAATCGATGAAATGCAAGACGTTAATCGAAGTTTAAACTTAAGTCGAGTTTATTTTAAATTAAATCGAGATTTAATGTTTCGCTGCAAGTGGCCCTAAGGTAATGAGGAAGTATTTAAAAAAAAACATTAGTTCCCGAATTCAAACTAGATGTCGCTACGGTACGTTCTTGATTTTCCATGACAACCCGTCCGGTTTTCATTCATGTTTAAAAGTAAATTAGTTTTCAAAACTCAATAAACAACTCATATTCTATTTGTACTTTTTCGTATTTGTATTGATATCTAAGTTTCGAACTTTGCAAATTTCAGTTTTTTAATATGTTAGTTAAAAGGAACGGAAATGATTGTCTTTGGTCCATTCGTTTCCTGCAAAAATCAACTTTTGCTAGAGTCGCCATCTAGTGGAGGTGCTTTATTAGTGCTTTCTTTTTTTTATTTAAATACTTCCTCATTAATAATTAATTAAAGTATTTTTCAACATAATAAAAAAAAACATTTTCACCAGTCTATTAATGTCCCTAATGGAATCTAATAGGGAGAAAGGGCCATGACCCACTATGCGGGTTTAGTGCGGATTAGTGGGTGCTAACCACTGCAGATGAACCCGGGATCGAAGACTTTCCAGATCATAATAATTTTTGATCACCCATCCCATGACTGGATCTTGCAAAAGTTGCTTGACAACAAAAATATAGTAGCACTTTACAATCTTTCTTTTTATAAATTTTAAAGTATGCCACAGACGACTTCTGTATTTGATTGGTTCGCGCCGATTTTAATAGGTCGCCATCTCTGAGGTCCCGGGTTCGATTCTCGGTCGGGTCAATGTAGAAAATGTATTTTTCTATATAGTCACGTGTCTGGGTGTTGTGGTGCTTTCGTTGTCTCAGACATTCCATAACATGGCGGCTTTTGCTACTCATCTTGGAATAAGCAGGCTTATTCTGTCAATGTTTACGTAATAGTCCCATCTCAATAGAATCTTAGCTACTTTCGTTTTACCATTGTACTATCTGAAGTACAATATTATTAGTGCATTACACATCAACGGAGATAAATAATAATATTGGATATAAGAATCCGCAACTAAATCAGAAAAGGCTGGCTTCTTCTGTCCCCCCCCCCCCCCCCCCTCCCAATCCCTAGTGAAAAAAAAAATGAAAAAACACATGTTATTATAACTTCCGTCCACGCGATTTGTGTAAAGTTCCAAAGGTTTTAACGACGATAACTCTTGATTCGGCAGGCGTTTAAAACGGCTAAGATAATGGTAGCGCACATGAATAATATACACGAAGGGAAAAAGAATAAGGAGCCCGACGGAGAACATTTGTGCGAGATTTGCGGGAAATCTTACAAGGCAAGTTAAGAGGGGATAGACATCTTAAACTCATCTAATTACTTGCAAATAAGTAATAATTTAAGCAAATATTTTTTACAAATAGACGAGAATTTGAATGAAGTTTCATCTACCCGTTACTAGATGGCATTACGTGTCACTTGAACCGCGCTAACACTGTCGAAACTTCGGGTCATAGGTATACGGCATGCGTGAAAGGGACAGACATTGGATAGGAAAGGGGTGGCTAGTCTTTCTAGAACTTTTTGGCCGAGGTCAACCAAAAATGTTCTAGGTTAGTACTTAGAATATTCTATAGTCCAGTCAAATTCGATGAAGAATAAATGTAAACGAAGCAAATCAGGGTCATCACAACTTAGATGAAAAAAATATGTATAAACCTTTTATTTCTCACCAGAATACTGCACATTACTTCTTAATTTTATGAGTAATTTTTTTCAATGCTATAAATTACCAGAAACACTCATAAAACTTAATTAGTTTTAACAAAAAAAATGGAAAATAGTAAAAAAACTCGAATTATTTTTACTTGACAGCCCTATAATTTACAGAGTTCAGATATTAGAAACATGTTTGCAGTTTTAAACTAACTTTCCAAATACAGTTGTCCTTTCTACTGTTTAAAAGGACAATTTTTTTTTTTTATTTCATATAATGTGTTTTTAGCATTGTGAATTGATTGCATTATTTATAATTAGGTAGCAATTTTATGAATTATTATTAAATTTATCAATAAAAGAATTGGTTTTTCACTGGTTTTTCTTTACACATGACTTGTTCCTTGTATTGTTAAGACATTGCACATTAAATTACAAAAAAAAAAAGATGAAACGTAAAAAAGAAATATAATGTTGTCTATGTTAGAAAAGTTATTAATATCTGGTTGCTAAGCAACACTTTGTTAGTAAACATTCTTCATCGAATTTGGCTAGTATAGATGTGGTATCGGCCCCCCATAAATAAGCGGTGGACTACCCGTCTCGGCATTCTTTCAGTGACTAGTGATGTGAACTGATTCAGTGACTAGTGAAGCGAAACGCGAAGCGAAAACTAGTGAAGTGAACTATCGGGACAATCGAATAGTGTTGTGAAGCGAGAGTAGTGACGTGTATTGTGAATTTTTTTGTTGAATTATTTTGCAATTTAATTTAGTAAATAAAGTCTGATTGTTAATTTAATTGGCGTTGATTAATATCCCGAACCTTAAATCTTAACAATATTATTAGCTACTAAAAGAAAGTAACCAATGATAATTTTTAGTATATTCCGCGTATTTTTTATGTTTTTCTGTCTATAAGAATTTCCAGACTTATCAAATACAACTAAATAGAAATCGGACAATATTTTTATAAGATTTTACTTTACTTGTCTTTTTATTGAACCCACAAACTACTTATAATTTGAATAAACTTCTAATATTGTATAATGCTATTATAAAATATGGTTTTTAATGAAACAAACTAATTAATTCACAGAACTAACAACTAGGAAAATAAAATAATGTCACTTACCCGGAAACGGATGTTGTGTTGGCTTAATACAATAGGCTGATTTTACTAATCTTTCTTGCTAGGTTGCTAGTTTTATGGCATTATTATTCGAGACGCGGTGGCGTGAAGACGTGTATACGGAGCTGTGTGAAAATGTGGTTAAATCTAGAAGTTTTATTACGATTCATTCGAATTCTCGTCTTTGTAAAAAAATGTTTCCTTAAATTATGGCATAAGTAATTACTTCTCTCTACTATCGATACTAGTATAATTGGATACTTGACTGTTTTATTAAATGTAATTAAATCTTACATTGTGATGATATTAATTCACCATCTGATTTATTTTTCTAATAGAAAGAAAGAAAAAAAATATTTTCATTAATCATTTGAAATTGTCCCGTGAGAAACGCGTGACATTACGAGCCTTACCGCTCTATTGTTTTTGGCGCTCAAAACCGCCATTTGCTAGAGGGAGAGAGATATTTAGTGCCTTTGCCTCGTGGCCTGCTAAAACACATGTTATCTCTCCCGCTCTCGCAAATGGCGGTTTTGAGTGACAGAATAACCTTAAAACGGAATATATCTATAAATTCACAAAAATAACTTTCCGTATTGTTATAGTGTTAGGAATTCCACTCCACATACTTATTTATTATATTTATTTGTATAAACAGACCGTTAAGCGTTTAAAGGGACACGTATGGGCGATGCACACTAATAGATCGTCCAGTAAGAACTTCAAGTGTAAATTGTGTCCAGCCACATTCGCCTGGCAGACTTCTATATACAAACATATGAAGATGATGCATGAGAACAAGAGGAGTAAGGTAAGTGTAAAACGGGATGACGGAAAGAGATGGAGAGTGTTAGTGAAAGAGATAAAGAGTGATAAGAAAGATAAGTCAATGACAAGATAAAAGATGTACGAAATAGATGTCAAAGGGATATAGGTGTAGGAAATAGATGTTATTGGTGGTATAGGTGTAGGAAACGGATGTTAATGGTGAGATGGGTGTAGGAAACGGATGTTAATGTTGAGATGGGTGTAGGAAACGGATGTTAATGGTGAAATAGGTGTATGAAACGGATGTAAATGGTGAGATGGGTGTAGGAAACGGATGTTAATGTTGAGATGGGTGTAGGAAACGGATGTTAATGGTGAAATAGGTGTATGAAACGGATGTAAATGGTGAGATGGGTGTAGGAAACGGATGTTAATGGTGAGATGGGTGTAGGAAACGGATGTTAATGGTGAGATGGGTGTAGGAAACGGATGTTAATGGTGAGATGGGTGTAGAAAACGGATGTTAATGGTGAGATGGGTGTAGGAAACGGATGTTAATGGTGAGATAGGTGTATGAAATTGATGTTAATGTTGAGATAGGTGTAGGGAACGGATGTTAATGATGAGATAGGTGTAGAAAACGGATGTTAATGGTGAGATAGGTGTAGGAAACGGATGTTCATGGTGAGATAGGTGTAGGAAACGGATGTTAATGGTGAGATAGGTGTAGGAAACGGATGTTCATGGTGAGATAGGTGTAGGAAACGGATGTTAATGGTGAGATAGGTGTAGGAAACGGATGTTAATGGTGAGATAGGTGTAGGAAACGGATGTTAATGGTGAGATAGGTGTAGAAAACGGATGTTAATGTTGAGATGGGTGTAGGAAACGGATGTTAATGGTGAAATAGGTGTATGAAACGGATGTAAATGGTGAGATGGGTGTAGGAAACGGATGTTAATGGTGAGATAGGTGTAGGAAACGGATGTTAATGGAGAGATAGGTGTAGGAAACGGATGTTAATGGTGAGATAGGTGTAGAAAACGGATGTTAATGTTGAGATGGGTGTAGGAAACGGATGTTAATGGTGAAATAGGTGTATGAAACGGATGTAAATGGTGAGATGGGTGTAGGAAACGGATGTTAATGGTGAGATAGGTGTAGGAAACGGATGTCAATGGTGAGATAGGTGTAGGAAACGGATGTTAATGGTGAGATAGGTGTAGGAATCGGATGTTAATGGTGAGATGGGTGTAGAAAACGGATGTTAATGGTGAGATGGGTGTAGGAAACGGATGTTAATGGTGAGATGGGTGTAGAAAACGGATGTTAATGTTGAGATAGGTGTAGGGAACGGATGTTAATGATGAGATAGGTGTATGAAATTGATGTTAATGTTGAGATAGGTGTAGGAAACGGATGTTCATGGTGAGATAGGTGTAGGAAACGGATGTTAATGGTGAGATAGGTGTAGGAAACGGATGTTCATGGTGAGATAGGTGTAGGAAACGGATGTTAATGGTGAGATAGGTGTAGGAAACGGATGTTAATGGTGAGATAGGTGTAGGAAACGGATGTTAATGGTGAGATAGGTGTAGAAAACGGATGTTAATGTTGAGATGGGTGTAGGAAACGGATGTTAATGGTGAAATAGGTGTATGAAACGGATGTAAATGGTGAGATGGGTGTAGGAAACGGATGTTAATGGTGAGATAGGTGTAGGAAACGGATGTTAATGGTGAAATAGGTGTATGAAACGGATGTAAATGGTGAGATGGGTGTAGGAAACGGATGTTAATGGTGAGATAGGTGTAGGAAACGGATGTCAATGGTGAGATAGGTGTAGGAAACGGATGTTAATGGTGAGATAGGTGTAGGAATCGGATGTTAATGGTGAGATAGGTGTATGAAACTGATGTTAATGTTGAGATAGGTGTAGGAAACGGATGTTAATGGTGAGATAGGTGTAGAAAACGGATGTTAATGGTGAGATAGGTGTATGAAATTGATGTTAATGTTGAGATAGGTGTAGGGAACGGATGTTAATGATGAGATAGGTGTAGAAAACGGATGTTAATGGTGAGATAGGTGTATGAAATTGATGTTAATGTTGAGATAGGTGTAGGGAACGGATGTTAATGATGAGATAGGTGTAGAAAACGGATGTTAATGGTGAGATAGGTGTAGGAAACGGATGTTAATGGTGAGATAGGTGTATGAAATTGATGTTAATGTTGAGATAGGTGTAGGGAACGGATGTTAATGATGAGATAGGTGTAGAAAACGGATGTTAATGGTGAGATGGGTGTAGGAAACGGATGTTAATGGTGAGATAGGTGTAGGAAACGGATGTTAATGGTGAGATAGGTGTAGGAAAGAGATGTCAATGATTGTATAGGTGGAAGTGAAAAGATAAATAAACGTAGTCTGTCTAATGAAAGTTGATATAAGTGATAAACGGTGGCAAGTTTGAAAATTATATTTTGATACTTGACTATTTTTTCTACCATTCAGGATTTTTTTTTACTATAGACCTGAATGAGTGCAGTCAACAATGTAATAGAGAATAATAAAAATTATGTTGCAACAATGCAATGTCGATATATCTCAGTTACGTAACCTGTACCAATTTTAGTTGGGTAGTCGAAATGGAGGGTAAACATTTTTTTTGCGTTAGTTATCGACTGATACAGTGATAACTACGCACCCGATGTATCTACAAGAATTTCGACATAACCTTAGTAGAGAGAGAGAGATAGCCAAATAAAAAAGCCACAAAGAGAGATAGATTAACCCGTTTTCTCTTCACAGCAATCCCGCTTGCAGTCAGTGAAGAAACAGGAGTCCTATACAGATGTAGAGTCAACGGCACGTATGCAATATTTCCAGCAGAACAACTTGATCCAGAATATAGTATTAGTACCTCAAGCAACTGTACCACCTCATGTTGTTTAAAAAAAAAAAGATTTTTTTTTTCGGTCAGGTAGATTGTTAAAAAATATTTCAACATGTAACTTTTTATATTTTGTGTGATTACAGTGAAACATTGAGTTAAAATGTCACTTGATGTCAATATTTTGTACATTTTCTACAAAGCTGTGACGTAGCGAACCTCCACTCAACTTTAATGTTTGTTATCGAAGCCAATTCTTGTTAAATTGAAGTAAAAAAAAAATATTTCTATTATCAGACTGATGGATTAAATAAAATGTCTTTTTATGATCCATATTCATTACCAGTGTACAGTTTATACCTATCTTCTATTCAAATGAACTTGTATGTAATTAATTACATATATTAAAAGAAACATTCAAACAAGCTATCAAGTTTTTATATATAAGTTTATGTTAACTAAAGATGCCATAATAATATGTATTTATTCTCTAATGCCTTAACTAATAAGGAACTTCTGTTCCTTAGTTACACATAGCCATGTTCATGTCATTCCAATGTGTTATATTATAAAGACAAAACACTGTGTAACTATACAATGCTTATTGATAAGGCAATTAGTATTCTCAATTAGTATTTATAAATGAATTTAATTAAGGCCTTATTTTTATACAAAATAAATATTACAAATTACTTTTTCAGTTTTATTATTGACTTATATTATTTCCAGGTCCAGGACTTTTGTCTCACACTCAAAATTACAAATACCATTATAAATTTTGACATTCCTGTCGCTATGTCCACTGCAATGAGTAATAAATAACCCATAGTAGTGACATAATTTTGTAATTCATAGTTATTGAGATTGGTGTTATGATGTATTTAATCTAATGACTAATTAACAATGTTATTATGAAATACTAGACGGCCCCGTGTACTTCATATCACCTCTGTTTAAACCTCCCTGGACTACGGAGTATGGCTGCAGATATAAAGTCTATATTTATTTTACATAAAAGAGCAGTCAGGGCTATTTATCAGTTGGGTTCAAGAACATCACTTAGAGATAAATTCAAAGAAATTGGGATATTAACAGTGGCCTCTCAATTGATATACAATTGTATACTTTATGTATGAAAAAATATTAACAATTACATTAAACTTTAGTCATGTACACAAATTTAATACTAGAAACAAACATAAACTTGTTTTGCCGTCATGCAGGCTAAAGAAGGTTCTATCATCATTTATGGGTCAAGGTGTACACTACTATAACAAAATTGCTATGGAAATTTTTAAATTTACCACTGCCCAAGTCTAAAACCCATATTAAGAATTGTCTACTCAGTAAAGGATATTATACTGTTAATGAATATTTAAATGACAAAACTGCTTGGTGTTAAATATGGCTCATTTTTAAATGCTTGTAACAGCCTAGACTGAATAAATAATTTTTATTGTATGTACTACTATATATAACATTTCATAATCAATCCAGCCATTCTAGTTTTAGCTATATAGATATATAGATCTGTATGGCAAAATGGGCAGTTTTTTGTTGAGATTTAATTTATTCATATACTCGCACAACAAAATGAGTTTGTTGTGCGAGTATATGAATACGAACATCAGCAGTTGCAGCAAGAGCAAATGAAACACACACTGTAAATGAAATCATGTTTCCACTTTAAATAATGTTCCTTGAAATTATTCTTACACAGTATACTTAGAGAAAGATATCTTAATTTATTTTTACACTAACGAGATCTACTTTTTATTTTTATACTGTGGATTTCGTCCTACGTTCCCACCACCTCTTGCTAGAGGTGCAGGGCGTCCTCTGTTTCCGAACGCTCCTCGGCCGCCTCCACGGCCGGGCCTCATGTTCTGTCCACCTCCTCGACCTTTAGAAACCTCGCTACGACCTCTCGCTTTAACCTGTGTCTCTTCTTTCACCATATCGATAACTTCGTCGGGTATTCTCAAATATTTAATTGTACTGCCACGTATGTAACATTCGGGCATCCTCCAGAACTTATCGCCATCACGCGAGGTACAGATCACTTCCCTCAAATTTATATTCATCCAGTTATCGCAACTAACTAGATGCCCGTTGTAAGTTTCACCATTTTTGAGCTCCACTAACATTGGATGATTTTGAGCGGTACGCAAAAGTGATAGGGGTAACATTTTTTAGTCCGATGTTGGTATTTTATGAATAATTTGCAATTTTGTTTTTATCTTGAAAGTAATAGGTATTCATACAATGTATTCCCAAACAAACCTAATTGGAGGTTTAATAGGTGGTTATGTTTAGAATAGGGATGCGGAAAGTAGACAGTGAACAGAAAACAGAATTGATATAAAATAAATGTCAAAAAATTAGGGTTGCAACGACATATCGTAAAAGCCTACATATCGAAACCATATCGCGAATAAAATCCTAAGAGTAAATGTATACAGCCCTACGATTCTGTAAAAATCCAAACCCGAATTCGAATTCAACCAGGTGTCCGAATTCACTCCAAAAAGTGTCATCCTCTCAACCTTGAATTGGTAATAACGTTTCGTGGCATAAGTGAAGTGAGTTTCGAAATAATATCGGAAGAGAATCTGAAACACGTATATTCAATAAATTTTGTTTTGTATTTTTATACAAAAAATATGATCAACAGAATTTATATGGTAAATGACGTGAATTCGGACACATGAGTAAATTCGAATTCGGGTCTGGATTGTTACAGAATTGCAGTGCTGTTGTATTTCTTTTACATTGACGGCATTTTCAAATGTGAGTGTAGTAACACGTGTCACATTGATCTGTAACCCTATTTTTTTCTTTGAAAATTTTTGGCAGTTTTCATTATTATAATTTGTACTTAATTTTAAAATAAAGTGTTATCCCCAATCTAATCGCAATTTATTTAAAGTAGCAATAAGACATTTTCATAAAAAGCAGTATGCAAGTAAAGACAAGATCGAGGAATACTTTGTCTATACCAAACGTTACGTTTCTCGGGTCATGAGAGATATGTTATGGGTGCGACGGGAAAATTTGGCATTTGGGTGTAAAAAAATACTCTCGAGTTCGTCATGCTACGCGTGCGGGGTCCAACATCTGTAATTTCGAATAGCAGGCTCAGGAGCCAGGCATTAGCTACCAATCCACCACCAATTAAAGGCCGATATTTTAAATACCTTTATGATAAATTAATTTATTTACACAAGGTTTCTAAAAACAAGATTTTAGAATTTATTCAAGATCCCTATAATATATTGATATATTGGCTTTGTGAAGCGATACATCGATACAGACTGTTACCGATATCTATCGAACTCGATTATCTATATTTTTATAAAATTTTAACTATAAATAATCGAGTTTAATCGGAATTGAAAATTTGGTGTATCGATCTGGTGAAGCAACTTTTGATTGTTTTACTTTTAATAATAAAAAAGGGGAGTGAATAAAATTGTGAAACACTGAAAAATATTCTTATTGAAAAATACTTAAAAAATCCACTTTGTCCCTGGCTCGAACCCATGACTTTTCGCAATCCGGGCGACTACTTTAACCACTGAGCAACCCAGGACCAAACAACACTGACGAAATTTTCATGCACTTTTTACCTTTTTCGAAATAACAAAGCGTAGCGTGACATTAATGTTCAGGCAATTAAAGTCATGGGTTTGAGTCCCATCTCAGAGTACCAGGGACAAAATTAAATCAAAAGATTTGGTTTTACAAATTTTGTATTTAAAAATTATTTAATTTCTATTTAATAGAAATTGATGAAACTTTTTGTATTAAAGTAAATAAAAAAGAGTATAAATTTATCCAAAATATAAAAAAATTCGTAGTAGAACACAAAAACTTCATTCACAGTCTATCAAAAGCATTGTCAGCAAATTCTCGTTCAAATTCAAACGAATTCTTTATATTTTGTTAACTACCTTTGTAGTCTTAAGAATTAGATTTTGATTTTATCAATGTAGGTTTTTAATATTGAAAACAATATCGGTTCGAAGTTAAATGACAATCAGTTAATTTTCACATCCCTAATCGCATATTTTGGTCGCTCATCTCGATTTTTCGATTAATTTTGTGGATTTTTGTTCGCCGGGTTAATAATTCTTTTTTCATGCATGTTCCCGGAAAGAGATTTGAGCACATTTTATTCTGCTCCGTGTTTGATTCGTTAATTTAGTAATTGCACAACTTAAGCTTTGGAGTTCCTCTAGCAATTGGGTAAGACAACGATCAGCTGTTTTTTTTTTCCCAAAATATGCCTTGTTAAAGTTACCTTAGTATAATAATCAGATTAATCATTGTATTTTATGTTTGTTTATTCCATCCTCCTCTATTTTCAACATATCTCACTAATTTTCAATTACTTATAAATTTTTCATTTAAATATAGAAAATGTAAAAGTATTTTTTTTTAACAGTAAGCTGCCGCTATGCCACAAGCTAGAAGGAAAGTACCCTTCAGTGGGAAGGCAAAGAAACAACAGTTACAAGCCAAAAAGAATAAAACTCTATTATTATCAAGTAAGTGGTTCATAAATTATTCAACTGAACTTTTCAAAGTGTATCCTTAAACTTTTAACATTCTGTACATTTTTAATGGTTGATGGGTAGAGAATTTGTATTTAAAATTTGTCTAAAAAGCAGTACATCAGTTTTTAATGAAAAGAATTCATGGCTTAATATTAATCTATAAATCAAACTGTTAAAATCTAAAACGGACAGTTTCGTCAAATCTGATTTAATAATCATGACATTCATTTGATGTAAATTGATGCCGTTTCAGCACCTTCTGGTTCTAGTACTTGTGATATAGTATCTGTGAACTATCAGCCGAGTAAAAACCGTGCTGGTGGTCGTAATAACCCCAACCGGTTTGTATTGAAGTTCTACCGTGAAACAGATGAAGAGTTGAAGATAAAGAAGGAAGACGCTTTGTAAGTATATCTGTTGTGTGACACTTGAACTGTTTAATGCGATAAGGGTACTTTATAGTAGTTTGGTGGTAATGGATAAGCACCGCAGCCCGTGATCGTTTTTGTTAAGCAACTTTGGTAAGGGTTGGTCACCGGATGGGTGAATAAATAATTATTTACCTCGAGCTACTCCATGCTTCGGAAACACGTTAAGCCGTTGGTCCCATCTGCATTTGCAGTTGTTATTACCCTCCAAACCTGAACGGGCCAGAGTTGAGATTTATGGCTCATTCGCTTTAACCATCCTTAAGGAAGGCCTGAGCCCCTGCAGTGGGGACGTATCCTAATACGTCAATCAGCCCTTGCTGATGATGTTGAAGGTATTTTATGCTCCGTTTGAAGTCTCAACTGTATATCTTAATTTATATCAATATCTTGCGATTGTCATGTCTTTCCAGTGAGGGTTAAGTATTACATGAAAGTACAGTACTATAATAGTCAACACAAATCAAATAGAAAATAAAATAACAATTAAAATTTGAGTTTTATTGGAAACTTTTTCATATGTTCATCACGGCTGTATTTCAAAAATTCATTTATAGCATGAAAGCAGTTATAAACCAAAATTATATAGGCAATTTGCTTAAAGCATAACAACATTAGATTTTAAATTATATAACCTAACACACATGCTGTAACTATTTCTTGTAAAATGTTTTTGTCTTATACATATATTTTGGGTCCTGTGCCCACTCTCATTTTATTTTATTTCGTACCGTGTATTTGCCGAATAAAAAATTCTTTCATTCAATTCTCTCAGAAAAGCAATAAATCCTGTATCGGAGGTGCAAATGGAAGTGAAACCATTAGATTACTTCCCGGAAGAGTTGTCTTTCCCCAAAAGACCACCGTGGAGATTTGGTACGAAAAAAGAAGAATTGGAGGCGCAAGAGCAGCAATCTTTTAGGGTGACTAACAATTTTTTTTTACATTATCAATGACGAAAGCCAGATTAACTTTACTCCAAGTATTAAGTCAGTTACCAATTGTAGTATTAATAAACTAAGAGTAAGGAATGAATAATCTGACTTTAATCTCGCTGTAAAAGTAACACCATAGTTTAGCCAGAGATTAAGCAGGCCATAGTGTACATAAAGTATTAAAAACTCATTGCCATAATGTCATAGCATTTTTTGATATTTGTCGTAATTTCAATGGCGCGGGTTTTTATTTGTATTAATTTTTGTAAAAATAAGTATGGGGAGAGATTATTTTATCAATGTTTTAGAAGACAAAAAATTTTTTAAAGGAAATAATAGTTCAAACCTGCTTAACAATGTTCCTATAGTTATATAAAACTTGTTTCATCTACTCAGCGTTTCTGTTAGTAACTTTTTATAATAAATGATAACCTATAATTTAAGTTGGTTTGTATAATATATGTATGTTTTATTTGCTGAATCTAGCTAACTAAACAAGTATATTATACTTTTTAATTCTTAAGATTGACAGTGAAGTTTAACCATAGACAAAATTTCAAACTTATGAATTAAAAAGTATAATCAAAAGTATAATCAAATTAAAAAGTCTAAGTTTGACAGCAAATATAGACAAAGTGGCTCTATTTCATTCACTCACACAACTCATTCTTATTACTTTTAAATTCATATGTATTGCCATAACTCACGCGTTAAATCAGGCTTAAGGAAGGTATTGTTAAACCGAGGATACTCCATGTTTATGAATAACATTGCTAAAACGAAGTTAATACTCTGTCACTCTGGAATTAACTAGACCAAGTGTAACTTTGGATCAGTCTAAGAACATGTCATTTTTATTAATAAGTTTCTCCATTAAAATTTTGTAAAGCTTAATATTTTCATGGAACCATATATTATAAGTTTTTGAATGTGTGAGAAGCTTGTTCTTAATATAAAAATAAATATACAACATCACGTACATCTATAATATATAAAGCTTAATTACCACTGACTGACTCACTGACTCACTCCATGCTTTTTTCGGGTAGAAAGAGGGGGAAAATGACATTTTCATGTATGGAGACTGACTATATTTTTTTTAAATGAGTTGAAGTACCATATCGGTACAGCCAAAAAACAAAATGGCGGCGAGATAATTTTTTTAGTTTCTACATTATTCACTCTACGGTTACGATATTCAAAATGGTCGTAGAGTGGGCTAAAAAAATGACACTGCAAAAAGGTTTGATTAAAAAAACAAAATGGCGGCCGAGATATTTCACCTTGAAATTTGGCATTTTTCGACCTCTGTTCGGGCAATCGTCAATTGTTTTGTGGTGGGTTCGGAGGGGGGATTTTTGCTCCTTCAGCTCGGAAGTATAGTCGATTTTCACGTATGGGGAGTTTTCGCTTGCGTGTCAATATGGCGGCGGCGGTGGCGGCCATTTTGTTTCGGCAATGAAAAATCGCCATTTTCCGGTGAGATTTTCTCCAAGATGGCGGCGTCGGACGGATTTACGTTGTATGGGGCGGTCGTGGGGCTTAGTGGGCTCTTCCTACTTCTCTACAGATTTCTACCATTTTCGTGGTAGTTTATGAGATTTTGGGAGAAAAGTGAAATTTCGAAATACGCACTTTTCGCGGAAAACAGACTCGATGCGGTGTGGCGTCGGGGAAGCCCTATGACTTTTGGTAGTTTTCGTTTCTGCGAACTGACAACCCTGGGCTCCACGGTAGAAAACGTGTTTTTCGACATGCCCTCATAACCCGAATTGTTTGGGAACTTGGGTGGCCAGCGGAGAAAATCTGTGAATGAGGTGTCATGCCAAATATAGTCGTGACTATGGGAAAATTATGAAACTCGGGAAAATCAATATGGTGGCGCCGGCAGCGGCCATTTTGTAATTTTTTCACTTTTTCGAAAAATTCAAACGCACTTTTAGCCTACATGGCAACATCGGAGCTCTTCGCCTGGTATGGAATGGTCATGAGTCTCCGCGGGCTCTTTCGAATGACATGAAATTTTTCCCCGATTTCAGGGTAATTTCGGAGATTTACCCCAAAAAGGTGAAAAGTAGAAGGAGCCGTTTGGGAATTTCAAAAATGCTTTTCCTCGACGGAAGGCACTCCCCGAAATCACACTTGACCATTTTCATCGTCGTCACCTGGCAACCCTGGTGGTAGCGATGATTTGAAAAATTTCACCCATTTTTTACTTTGCCAACTCTAGCGCAGACGGTATTGCCACTAGGAAAATGGTAAAAACTGCATCGGATGCGCTATCGAGTTGGCCACACCGGTACGGAGCCGGATTTTCAAAATTCAAGATGGCGGCCAAACCAGTGGCCGTTTTATCCGGAAAATTGGGTATCGTCACCACATCGAGCCGATTTTGACGCACTTGCCGACATTTGTCAGAGTACTTCCAGGGAAACATCTTTTAGGCAAGTAACTATAGTGTTGCTAGGTGAAAAAAAATCTCGAAGATTTTTTATACTTTATGAGATTTTTGAGGAAACAATTTTTGTCGAAATTTTAATTTTTTTTGATGCAAATATTTTAATTTTAACTTTACAAGATACCCGATGGAAAAAATAGAACGATCGACTGGCAACACTGAGAGCAAACAACGTTTAAAATTCAACCTCGATTTTGACCGACTTGGCAACCCCGCAGGTATTTGGCATGTATGGAGCGATTGTGCATCTCTATAGACTCTTTCGTATCATGGAAAAATTTTACCCGATTTTAGGGTATTTTTGAGATTTACCCCAAAAACTGTATCTGTCAAAGGAACAATTTTAGAACTTGAAAATTGGCATCCGTCGATGGAGGGCGCATCCCGAATTCACATTTGACTGTTTTTTATCGTCTACACCTGGCAACCCCGGCAGGTACGGCGGATTGAATATTTAATGCTCACTATTCACGTTTTGGACTCTAGCGCAGTCATTATAGCCGCTAGGAAAATAATGAAAGCTACGTAGGATGTGCTAATAGGTGTGCTACACCGGTATGGGGTTCAATTTACAAAATTCAAGATGGCGGCTTATACAGCGACCATTTTATTTAGAAAATTGATCATTTTTCATAACTTTCACTTTATAGAGCTGATTTTGGCGTTTTTGGTAATATTTTAAAAAATACTTTTAACAAAAAATAAGTATTCAGCTGAAGTGTTGCCAGATGAAAAAAAAACTGTAAATTTTTTGATACCGAGATTTTTGAGAAACTTTCATGTCATTGATGAAAAATATTAAAATATTTTTTTACAATGATTTTACTGTTTAATAAAATTTTTACTGTTGCATTTATAACATAATTGATGGAATAATTTGAGTTCTAGCAACACTGATAGTAGTCACCATATTAATTTCAGAATAATTCTGACCGAGCTGGCGACTCGGAAGCTTTGCATATATAGACCGTTTGTGTATCTTTACTCAATCTTTACGTGGTGAGAAAAAAAAATTCCAATATTTTCACAAGAAAAATAAAGCGAGCGAGACATTGTCATTCGGTTAGATTAGAACTGTGACTAAAACAAAAAGCGAGCGAAGCGAGCCATAAAGAGTGACCAATTAGAGAGATTTGATTAATTGGTAAGGTAAGAACTGTGACTAAAATAAAATGCGAGCGAAGCGAGCCATAAAGAACACCACCAATAGAAATCTGATCAATCAGTTACATTAGAACTGTGAATAAAATAAAAAGCGAGCGAAGCGAGCCATAATACAAGACCATTAAAAGAGACCTGATCAATCGGTTATGTTAGCACTGTGACTCAAACAAAAAGCGAGCGAAGCGAGCCATAAAGGTTAACTATTAAGAGAGATTTGGTTAATTGGCAAGGTTAAAACTGTGACTAAAATAAATGCGAGCGAAGCGAGCCATAAAGAACACCATCAATAGTAATTTAATTTTAACTTTTCAAGATACCCGATGGAAAAAATAGAACGATCGACTGGCAACACTGAGAGCAAACAACGTTTGAAATTCAACCTCGATTTTGACCGACTTGGCAACCCTACAGGTATTTGGCATGTATGGAGCGATTGTGTGTCTCTATAGACTCATTCATATGGTGGAAAAAAATTACCCGATTTTAGGGTAGTTTTCGAGATTTACCCCAAAAACTGTAACTGTCAAAGGAACACTTTTAGAACTTGAAAATTAGTATCCGTCGATGGAGGGCGCTCCCGAAATCACATTTGACTATTTTCATTGCCTACACCTGGCAACACCGGCAGCTACGGCGGGTTGAATATTTAATGCCCACTATTCACGTTTTGGACTCTAGCGCAGTCATTATAGCCGCTAGGAAAATAACAAAAACTGCGTTGGATGCGCCAATAGGTGGGCTACATAGGTCTAAGGTTGAAATTTCAAAATTCAAGATGGCGGCTTAAACTGTGGCCATTTTATCTACAAAGTTGATCATTTTTCACGACTTTTACTTTATAGAACTGATTTTTGCGCTTATGATAACATTTTTCAGATTACTTAAAAAAAACATAAGCTGAAGTGTTGCCAGATGAAAAAAAACTGAAAATTTTTTGATACCGAGGTTTTTGAGAAACTTTCATGTATGTCATTTATGAAAAATATGAAAACATTTCTTTACAATGATTTTACGGTGTAACAAAAATTTTACTGTTGCATTTATAACATAATTGTTGGAATAATTTGAGTGATCGACTAGCAACACTGATAGTAGTCACCATATAAATTTCAGGACGATTCTGACCGAGTTGGCGACTCGGGAACTTTATAGCATATATAGACCGTTTGTGTATGTATCTTTACCCAATCTTTACGCGGTGAGAAATAAATTCCACTATTTTAGCCAGAAAAATAAAGCGAGCGAGACATTGTCATTCGGTTAGATTAGAACTGTGACTAAAACAAAAAGCGAGCGAAGCGAGCCATAAAGGGTGACCATTTAGAGAGATTTGATTAATTGGTAAGGTTAGAACTGTGACTAAAAT